TATATATATACTTACTTACTTACTTTTAAATAGTGCACATGCATCATCATTTGATTTACAAAAGTGCACAAGTATTTTTCATAATTTTTAAATGCTTTAAATCAATTTATTTCTGTATTTTATTATATAAATATTCAATAATTACCCTTCATATTATTTTTATGATGATTTAATCATCTAAATTTATCATTTATACTAACATAATATTCAAATATTTTTCAGTGCATTTTTATAATTATATTTGCATTTTTAAGGCTAAATTGCACATTTTACAATAGTAGCCCATATGTACTTATGATTATATTATTTATGCAAAAAATAACATTTTATAGTTTTACAGTTTTACATAATTGTTTTAAATTATTTTTATTCACAAATAATATTTTTGTTATTAATTTATTATTTTTTATAAATTATTTTATTTAATAAATTGGGTATTTAAAATTTGGCCCAAAATTTTCAATTAATTTCAGACCCAAACATACCCAATTACCCCAAGCTTAATACCCCTGGCCCAATTACCCTTACCCATTTAATAACCCGACCCAACCCTGTCTAAATCCCAACCGTTGATAAAAAATGATCAACGGCTAATAAACGACCTCTCCCTTTCCTTATATCTCCACCCCCAAACCCTAACCCTCATTTCCCAAATTCGCCACCTCTATTTCCCTCCTTTGATGAACCCTAACCCCGCCGCCTCACTAAAATCCCCCTGAATCTCGTTCCTAATGGGATTCTTTCCCCATTCATTTACCATTCCGGTATTTTTCCTTTATTTGGTGTTGTTCTACAGAATAACTTAGGTACTTGCTTAAACATGGCAAGTACCTCACTTTGATTCTGTCTTAATCGATTTTTACCTCTTGAATCTGGACGACCTTAAGTCCAAATGCGCTATTGTGTACCGTGTGAGCCCGATTTGCTCACATCTCGCTGATTCGTACTTAACCCTATAGATTCTCTTTGATTCGAACCTAAATTGGTTTAAGTTTTAGTTTTGAGTATTATTTCATCTATATTCACTCTATTATGCGTGAATTTGTCTATTTCTGTTGATTTCTTTTACTTGCCCTAAAAATAAGGTTTCAAATCTTCTCTAATTGAACCAAATCTAGTTCAATTTTGTGTTTCTTTTTTAATAATTTCCTATCTAT